CACGGTCGCATAAAATTGAACGACATCCTTGCTTAAACGCAGCATAAACATAAACATCACATTAAAGTGAGTGAAATATAAACATTCTATTAAAGTGAATGAAACATAAACATCACATTAAAGTGAATGAAACATAAACACCACATTAATGTAATTGTAACCTAGACATAAAATTTGTATGAATGCAGACGAAAACATTAAATTAATGTAAAATGAAACGTTTTTGAACGTTTATATAAATATAAAACTTGAACGTTTTGAAAATATTTGAAGACCAACGCAAACAAACAAAAATTCTGCTTGAGCATTAAAATACAAAAATTTTGGTTGGCATGTATCGCAAACGTTTGCACAAGTGTTTAAGCTGCTTCATTGCATACACACTTGTCTGTCTGGTCGTGTATGATGAATGTTTGATGGGAGACTGAAAACATTGTAAGATGGAGAGAGTAAAAGCTGGAGACAGTACATGATGAAGAGAGTACAGGATGAAGAGAGTACAGGATGGAGACGGTACAAGATAAAAAGACCACATGGAGGCCACTTGGAGACCACATGGAGACCACATAGAGACCACCTGGAGACCACACAAGATGGAGACCACACAAGATGGAGACAAGATGATAGCGACAGTACAAGATGGAGAGAGTACAAGATAGAAACAGTACAGGATAGAGACGGTAAAAGTTGAAGACAGTACGTGATGGAGACAGTGCAAGAGATACGCTGCAGATTTCAGTAAGTTGGTAAGGATTAGATTAGATTCTGAAAGCATTCTGCCAGCTAACAACACTAAACATGATTGTATGTACGCTTCATTAATACATTTATGGACATCACCCATCACCATCATCACCATCATCATCATCACCATCATAGTCACAATCATCATCACATCATCATCATTATCGTCATAACAACATATCACCCTATTGAAATTCATTATCATCAGTATCATACTAACAACATCACCACCATCCCCATAGCAACGCCATCATGAACTTTACAGTCGTCATCATCACCATCATCATTACCATCATCATTACCATCATCATCACCATCATCATCACCATCATCATCACCATCATCATCACCATCATCATCACCATCATCATCACCATCATCATCATCATCATTAGAACGCTATTATCATCATCGAAATTGCAATCCTTTCACCAAAACAATATGGTTAACATGCACAATAGGAAAATGTAATTAATTGCAAAATTGCAACAATATTACAACAACAAAACAACAATGAGACCATTCATTTTTCCTGGAAGGAAGCAACCACATCATTACAATACAAATCTAACTGAGACGAAACATGCCGCATTCAACTGACATCAACAACATCAACAGAACGTCAACATCGTAACCTTCATATAGATAAAAACATCACCTATCAAACCAGACAACGACAACAATTTCATCAACAATATTACTTAATGAGGTACCGGTGCACACATAATGAGTGACAAAATGACAGAAGAATTACAAGCTGACATTAACGGACAACAACAACACAACAACAACAATAACAAGCTGACATTAAGAGACAACAACGACACAACAACAACAAACCAACACAACAACAGCAATAACAACAACACTAGCAAGCTGACATTAACAAAAAAAAACAACACAACATCAACAACAACATCGGCACAATAGAAGAACAGTTACGTGCGAGTTCCACCATATAAAGATAAATGCAATCAAATAAACAACAACATTACCAACAATAAAAACGTAATGACTCCATAGCAACATCGCATACATCATCGTCATCATCATCGTCATCATCATCATTGGTATCATCATCATCAACAACAACAACAACATCGTCATCGCCGTCGTCATCATCATCATCATCGTCATCATCATCGTCATCATCATCATAAACATCATCATCGTCATCATCATCGTCATCATCATAAGCATCGTCATCATCATTTTTCTTATAAACAGTATTCAATATTTTTTTGTATCACTCTTATTGGTTGTAAAAAAATTTTATAAGCGCAACTGAAAAAACTTCTGAAAAAATGACCCGGACAAGAAAATACTTCCAATGAACAATGGAGCAAATTATAAAAAAATTAATAATAAAAAAATGACATAATAATAATAATAATAAACAATAATAATAATTATATTATTAATGATAACAAATAATAATAATTATAAAAAATAAAATTTTCTCTTACAATAGGAAGACAATTCGAAATGTATTTGCTGCAAGACAATATCAACGTTAAATTCATTATCATCTCATCGCGACCATCATCATCACCACCATTATCATCATCATGACCATCATCATCATCGTCATCATGACCATCATCATCATCATCGTTGTCATCACCAATGTAATCATTATCTTTGCCATTAAATTCATCATCATCTCATGACTAACATCAACATCATCATCATTATTAATACCGATATCATCACCCACACCACCATCATCATCATCACACCCACCACTACCATCATTATCATCATCACCACCATCATCAACATCACCACCATCATCATCATCACCATCATCATCCTCTTCGCTATCCATTTTCATCTGTGATCTTACTTGCACGGAAAAGAAAAATATAAGAATGACTGAGTGAATGAATGAGCGAATGAATGAACGAATGACTGAATAAATGAAAGAAGAAAGAATGAGTGAGTGAGTGAATAAATGAAAAATTGAGTACATGACTGAATGAATGAACGAATGAATGAATGAATGAACGAATACAAAAAATTTTTTTATTTGAAAAATATGAACGCTTATCAACCTACTTATTCTTATTCGTTTATTTATTCCATCAATGAAACATATATTCATTCATTCATTCATTCATTCATTCATTCATTCATTCATTCATTCATTCATTCATTCATTCATTCATTCGTTCATTCGTTCATTCGTTCATTCATTCGTTCATTCGTTCATTCGTTCATTCGTTCATTCGTTCATTCGTTCATTCGTTCATTCGTTCATTCGTTCATTCGTTCATTCGTTCATTCGTTCATTCGTTCATTCGTTCATTCCTTCATTCATTCATTCATTCATTCATTCATTCATTCATTCATTCATTCATTCATTCATTCATTCATTCATTCATTCATTCATTCATTCATTCATTCATTTATTCATTCATTCATTCATTCATTCATTCATTCATAATATTATTTTGTCATTTATTTTTATTCTTTCAATCACGCACGCACGCATGCATATTATGAATTGGAGTTTATGTGACTTTCTATTTACATACAGATGAGGTGTTACTTAATATATATATATTCAGTATGACAGCATATATATATATATATATATATATATATATAGTATACGCCATATATATATATATATATAGTATACGGCATATATATATATATATATATATATATATATATATATATATATATATATATGTATATATTGGAAGGAGACCATATTTTATACTAGGGATGCACCGAAGTTCGGCCCCGGCTCGGGCCCTGGCCAAAATCCGGCTTTTTTTTCAAATCCGGTCGAATCCGGCCCTGGCCGGATTTAGGGCCGGATTTAAGCGTCTATCAACTTTTAAAAATGTTATAAATAGAAAAAAATTTTTATTGAATTCAATTAATTTTATGTCAATAAGTTAAAGGCTAAGGCTAAGCTAAAGGCATACATGACACATAATAACAACATCACCAATTGTGAGGTAATCTGGACAATTTTCTTTACGCTATAACATGGGCTATGCGTAAATTATAAGCTGATCTTTGTGTAAAAGAACTTGCATATAACGGATCATATAGCTACATGATATATATATATATATATATATATATATATAGAGAGAGAGAGAGAGAGAGAGAGAGATACATAAGCACATAATTTAAGAAAAGTTAGGCTAGGTATACATGACACATAATTACAACATCACTAATTGTGCGGTGAGCTGGACAATTTTCTTTGTGTTTCAACCTGGGTTATGCAAATATGCATAAATTATAAGCTAATCTTTGTGTACAGAATTTGGCGTATCACACAACTTATTCATATATTTGAATTAAATAACATGTTCAACATGTAGATAACTGTAAATGTGAGTATTTTTTCTAACTTATGTAAAATGGTAACTAAAATCCGGCCCCGGCTCCGGCCGGTTTTTGAATTTTAAATCCGGCCAAGTCCGGCCCCGGCCGGATTTGAAAAACCTGAATCCGGTGCGTCCCTATTTTATACAGTATTGTATGAATTCTACCGAATTGTTGGCATTAATCAATTTAAAGTTTGTCTTTTCAATTTTCCTTACTAGAATTTTCTGGAAATCGCTCAATCTAATGGAAATATAGTTATCAACCGAGTTTATCGTGAAAATTTATTAAAACAGAAATTTATATATATATATATATTTAAGAACATACATGGGCAGGCATGAAAGCTTTCGGATCACCAGGTCAACTAATAAAAATAATAAAAAATTTGTGCGAGAAATCAGCAATGGCAGTAGGGACGATGGAGGGACTGAGCACAAAAATATCACTTCAGGACAAACTAAAGTTAATAGTCCTATGTGTCATCATTATTGCGTGCCCGCGAAGCATGGATGTTGTGGATGTTGAAGAAGGAAGATAGAAAAAAGATGAGATGCATTTGAGACGGAGTGCCACAGAAGAATGCTCTATGCGAAATGGACTGAATAAAGAACAAACAAAAGAATAAGAAATCCACTGAAGGAAGACCATAACGACAAAAGTATTAAAAAGAAAAAAATGAGTTTTTTGGACACAACCGCCGGATGGAAGATGGCAGACTCATAAGATTTTGCCAGGACGGAAGAATGAGTGAAGATGGATGGATGATATCGAAGAATGGAATGGAGGAAACGTATGAATGGCAAAAAGTCAAGCCGAGTCAAGGCAGGGTTTCTGGAAAAAAGTAATGCTATCAGCCTCGACTGTCCGAGAACTACAAGAAACGTTGTTGGATGGATGGATGGATAGATGGATGGATGGATGGATTGATGGATGGATGAATGGATGAATGGATGGGTGGATGGATAGATGGATGGATAGACGATGAATGGGTATATACATACGCATATATTTATCCCATAATTTTATATGCATATTCATAAATTTGTTGATGAAGTGTACCATATGAAAACAGATATGCAAGCAAGCACCATAGCTGTTTTATAAACTAATTAATTTGTGTGTGAAAATGTGTGAGTATGTATGTGTTTGTAGGTGTGTGTGTGTGTGTGTGTGTGTGTGTGTATTCGTATGCTTACCAATCACAAAACACACGCACGCAACCTTTGGATACATTCCAATGAATGACGTTAAAACGTGTTGTACGTTAAAAATGTTTGATTGATTAGTTGCTAGCAAAATTGATTGATTGGGAAAAAAACTCGGTTGTTCGATTGATTGATTGAATAAATTAGTGAATCAAAATTTTTGGTTCGAAAGGTGAATCGAACAATGAGTGAAGGAATGAAAGGATAGATAATAGAGTGATTGAATGAAGGAGTGAATAAATGAAGGAATGAATGAGCGAATGAATAAATGACGAAACGAATAAATGAATAAAGAAAGGTACGTGAAAAAACGAATGAACAAACGAAAGGATCAGTGAAGCATTTGTGATTAAACATGAAAGTCTACAAACTCATAATTGGCTTACAGCGCATGCAATATCATTATCATCACCACCATCATCACCATCATAACTATCATCATCACCACCATTATCATCACAATCATCATCACCATTATCATTACTATCATCACCACAATCATGATGATGATGATGATGATAATGATGATGATGATAATGATGACGAGGATTGTGATGTTTATGATGTTGTTTATGACGATGACTTACTTCTTAACAAATAATTATAATGTGACGTCACCAACTACAACTTCTTCATCGTTAATTACATCATCACCAACATCACTAACATCAACGTCTACATTTCTACAGCATTAACACCACCAGCCATTGTACATGCCATTCATGGTGTTAAAATTGATGCAATCACGCACTCTGTTTTTGAAAATTGTATCAACAACAAAATCACAACAACATAACAACAACAGCAACATAGCAGCACAACAACAACAACAGCCCAACAACAACAACAACATGATCGCATAATATTCTGATCGTATCAATAAAAACAGCAATACCATTAAAACAAGAAGCCGCGATTTAGAGGCGTTTATGTTGCAAGATTAATCCATAGCATCATAACCACAACAACTTAATCACGACAACTTAACCATGACAACATAACCACGACAACATAACCACAACACCATAATCACAACAACAACAACAACAAACTTCAACACATTTGAATGAACAGCCGCAACAACGAAAACAACAACAAAAAGTCAAAAAACCCAAACAAACATCTAATTATTATATAAAGGATAGAAAACGACCGCGAGATGCCACTTAGCGTCCAGCAGACCTTCTGCTAAAAAAAAAATTTGATGACCATTTGCTACCATGTACTAATATGATTAAGTTTAACGATGGGAACTCTTTTATTTTTCAAAAGTAAAATAATCATACAATGAAATGAGATGAAAATAAGATAAAATAAAGTAAAATTAAAAGAATAAAATTTAAAAAAAATCAGTTATGTAGTCTACGATGATGGCCGCTGTATCGAGATAAAATGCGTGCAACTAGAAATATAAGATCAGTTTAAAAAAATAATTATGATACATTCGAGTTTCTGTCGCAATAAGTAGCATACGATGTTGATATTGCCGAGTTAGTCAAATCTTTATAAAATTGTTAAAAGCGATATGTTAAAATGTTTAAAAAAGCCAAGCGAGGAGATTTCAAATGTGTTGATAAGAATTTTGAGAACTTTCTTCTCGTTGGCCAAATTGTTTTGGATGTTCTGGTGTTTAGATATTTTGTAGTTCTTTGATGCGGTGAAGTTGGATTCGTGACCGACTGCCAATTCCAATATTTCAATCGTATCACCTTCTAGGAGTGCTATATTGGGCATAAGTGATTTGAAGGGACGATACTGAGACAAAATCGTCGTTAGTCGTATCGACAAAGATTGTAACGTCTGATTTGGCAACCGATCTAATCTTCTCCAGAATCAAAGGAAATATTTTATTATGATGTGTTGTATTGCTTTTTAAATTTGTAACGGAGCCACAACTTGACAGGACGTCCTTGTTTGTCTGCAATGCGTTACAGAGGAAACACAATGCATTGGAGGACTCACTCCACCTGGAGAGATTGGCGTTTGTAGGAAGTTGTTGAATCAATGCCTTCCTAACAAATTTTAAACCTAGTCTCCGGCAAATCGGCATGAGAACATCGACCATCGTGAAACACCCGTTGCCGGGAGTGATCTATGATCGACTTAGCAATTGTTCCTTGGCATTTTAGTGGGTTCGGAGATTGGATTTTTGTTGAGCTGTCGTAGCTTTATAAGTGTCATTTTTACATCAGCTGAATCAAGAAGGATGTTGTCGACTTTGATGAAACTGTTGGGAGATTCCGTCCGTATACATTTTATTTCCTTGTTGACGAGCGATTTCATGTAGTTACAGAGTTCGATTCTCAATTTTTCAGTGTAATGTTTAAGTGATTTCAAGTTTAATCCTACTCAGACACACAGCTGCTAACTGGCAAAGATAACTAATTTCTCACAGATTCTGCGATCAATGGGTCCAAATTGTTCCCAATCCATGCCAACGGAAGGTCATAGGTGCGAAGTTCGAAAGCCATTTGCGGTGGGATATATCTGAGAACCATCTGCAGTATCCACTGTGGTGTAATAACCAAATACTACACCAGTGTGGTGGAGAATAATAATAATAATAATAATAATAATAATAATGATAACAATCGCCATCACAAAATGACAAACATTTCTAATGCAAACAATGCTAGTAAAATACTTTTCAAGAGAAATTTTTGCCGTGGTCAATTTTATTATTGTTATTGTTATTATTACTATTTTTGTTGTTGTTGTGGTTGTTGTTATGGTTATGGTTGTTGTTGTTGTGGTTGTTGCAGTAGTTGTTTTCATTAAGAAATAGTTTTAACGTCAGCCCGTCATAAGCGAGCCAGTCAATCAATCGACTCCAAACTTTGATCCTCACCAGCTCTTTTTCAATTTTTTATCTTTTCAATTTTAATTTGTATTTATTTTTACACTCATTCATTCATTCATTCATTTATATTCACTTACCTCTGGCTTTTTTTTGTTTAAAATTTTATTTTGCACTTTATTTTTTGTCTTTCACTTTTTTCTCAGTTTTTCGTCTTTCTTCCTTGTCCTCCTCCTGTTACTTCCTTTCAATCCTGCCTCGTTATCTTTTAAATTTTTTTGTTTTT